GCTCACTCTGGTTGGTTATCCTGTTGCTCATACGAGCATCCTGTTAATGATTTGTTCAGGTTCGGTGCCCTTCAGTCATGTGCCTTATTGAAGTCATTTTAAATTCCTTTTGTAAAGCAGATTCTGTATAACTACTTGAAATTATGCAACATAGTTGTTCAGGCCTAATTTCAAATGAGGCATACTGAACAGCTTTTTTATGAATGGGACATTTCCTGATTCTTGTTTAGTCCAGTTGGATTAAAAGGAAGTGGATAATGAAATTTAAACAGATCCACTTGAAGTAGTTGATCAAAAGATGTTCAAAATTTCAAAAGGCTGCAAACCAATGTCCCACCAGTGCAGAGTTACAGATGGCAGGCACTAGTATCGTGTAAATTCACGTTTGATGAAAAACCTAACAACCTTGTTTTCCCCTAGCCCTGACCACTGACTGCATGAAGCTGCTTCTGTTTTCTCTCCTCTAACAGTTCCCTTTCTTAAGCACAGTTGTCATACAGGAAGACTGGTATAAATATTTTTAAACTTGGATCCATGGAATTCAGTTATTTTTCTGAGGACTGCACTTTCTCTGGTAAAGTCAAGAGAAATAGTCAAGTGCAAACACACATATATGTGTATTACGAATATTTATATATATGTACAGGTAAACATGAAAAAGTTGTGGAATATGGGTCAAACACTGCTCACTTACTCATGAGTATTCTCATTTATATTAAGGTGTCTGACAATGGAGTCATATTCAGCCCTATATTTAGATTCAGTCCTATATTTAATTAACAGGTCACTGAATTACACAACTATAAAAATTCTGAATTGGGGCTCTCTGGTGACATCTCAATAAATGGAGGCCAAAGCCCTACTGGGTCACAGTATTGCCATATCCATAGCCCTGTCCAAGTATTTTTGTATGTTATCATTTACATATGGAGCCAGTGCAAAATTTAACTCAATATAATTCTGACTCTAAAATATTGTTAAGTGGTTGGACCCCAAAGTTGAGGAGACAATGTTCTGTGCACTGAATGGCTTTTTAAATTATGTGACAAGATTTTGGGGGAGTCAAGATCAGTAATTTGCACTTGCAATGCAAGTATAAAAAACTGGATTTTGTTGGAAACATCTAGGCATAGTGCTACTGCCCACTGGTTTTGACCAAACATGGAACTTTTAGCATAAAATAAATGCACATAGTTAAAACAGCCTAAGTGCAGGATTAGCCACCCCTCTAGGGAACTGCTTAAGTATTTTTAAGTCTGCATCTGAAATAAAAACTTTAGGTCAGTAGATTAAAATGAGTGGGTTTTTTGCTAGACCTGCCTTCTTTTATAGAGTCTTTTTCAGGGAGATCTGCTAAGATCTAATCTAATTATTACTTTCACACCTCATACCACTGGGTGACCAGAAGGGGATTTTGTATTTCTACAGCATATGTCTCTTGACTACCAGCAATGACTCAGCCCTAATGCAATGGGAAGGATCCTTCCTCTGAAGGAAGAAGGCAGGAGTCCCATGTGGAGGAAAGACTGCTGCCAGTAGCCACAATAGCAACAAGAATTACCACTGTTTCTGTTACCAACCTTTTCCCCTTCCATTCATCATTCACTTATCAAGAAGAGTTAAATGCAGGGGGAAGATACTGAGAAGGCTGGTAGCAGATGTCTGTGGTCCTGCCAGTGGCTCTATCCCCACATGTGAAAAATCTCTAATATACTCTCCTGTGAGGGGTGGCTTCTTCTGTCATGGAAAAGAGAATTACTAATGGAAAGTTCATAGATTCATAGATTTTTTGGGTCGGAAGGGACCTCAGTGGATCATCGAGTCTGACCCCCTGCCCTGGACAGGAAAGAGCGCTGGGGTCAGATGACCCCAGCCAGGTGTTTGTCTAGTCTCCTCTTAAAGACCCCCAAGGTAAGGGAGAGCACCACCTCCCCTGGAAGCCCATTCCAGATTTTGGCAACTCTTACCGTGACGAAGTTCTTCCTGATGTCTAGTCTAAATCTGCTCTCTGTCAGTTTGTGGCCATTGTTTTTAGTTACTCCAAGGGTCGCCCTGGTAAACAGATTATCTCCTATCCCTTGCTGCACACCCCCCCCCCCCCCCCCCCCCCCCCCCCCCCCCCCCCCCACCAAAACTACCACCC